GGTGGGGGCTGCACATGCGCCGCACGCCCGGGGGCGGCACCACGCATGCGCTGCGCTCCCAGGGCACAAGAATGGCTTGGGCTGGCCCTGGTCACTAGGAGAGCGCACATAAATGCCCCAGCGGGCACCATGGCGCCTGCGGGCACCGCGGCACCCGCGGGCACCATGTTGGGGACCACTGCTGTACAGCAACACTTTTCAAGATTGGATTGCGAGCCACCAGGGGACGCTGCTGGCATGCCCATGCTGCTTTGTTTACTTAATGTGTCGGTGGCTACAGAACCTTGCAGCTCCCTTGGCTGGAAATGGCAACCATAGCCAATAGGAGATGTGAGGCTCTGGCTACAGACATGTTAAGTTAATAAAGTGGTGCAGGCCCACCAATGGCTTACCCTAGTGGCCCAACAACCCAAGTTTGAAAAACACTGCTCTGCAGTATCTAGCCCCCATCATTGGACATGCTCAGAAATTACCAAGTTGGTTGTGTTGAGGGATGCATATTACACACCAACCTGTTAACTAAGTTGAATATTCATACTTTACTTCACAGCACTCAGGTTAATGTAAAGCAAGCCCAAGAAAAAGTGGATTAAGAGCAGAGATGTAAATATTACTTAGTAAAAAGTTAGTGGAAACAGATACATTTACAAATAATACAAAAGATTAACATGCTTCTGAGAATCTAATCATAACCTTAGTGAGCTATAGTTGGAGCCCTGAACAGATACAACATTTTCTCTCTGCATCTGTATTTGCAAAAAGGAGCTGCAAATTTTCTCAAATTTGCAGGGCTCTAGCTCTAGCCATTTGGCTGAAGCATTTTTCTTACCTTCAAAATCCTTTCACCGCGTTTATAGATTTTTTCAGTCAAATCAGGATCCAGATTTTCCCCCTCTATCAGGAGTGTTCCTCAGTAAAACAGGTCCCCAGAGCAAAGCTTTGAAGGGTATTCTTTTGAAGGGTAGCCCTAGGCAGAGTTCTTGTCCCCTGCTAGTGTGCAGGTGTTGTGGTGTTCATGCTGTCTTTCTCATCCTTTTGTTAATTTGCCTTTTCTGTTGACTTAATATGCAAATGAAGCTTGATTTACATCAGAGACTTAGGCAGAAAGGTTAATCAAAATTCCGTTGTCTAGGAAAATCTTGTTTATTAATCCTGCCTGATTTGCTGGGTTTAAGCATGTTTTCAGTATATGCATGCCATTTCTTAATTGTTCTTAATTATGATAACCAGTGTGATGTAAGTTTTCATTTGATACTTTACACTGCTTACAGGGCATTCTTTACAGATAAATACCATGACTGCAATGTGCTAGGTATAGTGAGTTTGTCAGGCCCAACAGGAATTGCTGTTACATGATAGTGAATCCTTTGCCCCAATGGCCATTAAGGGGCTCTTAGGGCCACAGCTCCCCTTTGCCTTCTGCCATATAAAACATATAACAGATGGTGAAGTGCTTGAGCAAGAGAAGCCACAGAAAGGGGTGAAAGAAATGTACTAAGGGGTTATAGTCATCTCTAACATAACTCCACTGGTGCCCTGGGGATGAATTTGCTCTTAAGTATGCATTCCAAAGTGATGCTGAATTCCCATATACCTTTCTGATATAAAGTAGAACTGGATGTACTTGTTTGTAAAGTCATGCCTTCAAACATGAAATGTGATTTAGGGATGGCAGTGTGTAAACAACTACATGATTAACTGTTAATCTTGGGCTCTCTATCAGAGGCAGCAAGTCGGGGGGAGGGAGGAGCCAGTGCCCCCCCATACTGCAAATTCTGATAGGAAGCAGTGCAGAGAGTGAGGGGGGCAGATGAGAGCCAATATGCATGGGAGCCAAAGCCAGCTCTCTGCATATGCCAGCTCCATGGACCCACCTGACCCCTCCTGCATTGCTACCTCCTACCGAGGTGGGCAGGGGGGAGGGAAGCAGGAGCCAGAGCAGGGGAGAAGCCTCCTTAAAAGCTGGCTCCACCAGCTCTGTGATGCGACCTGCTTCCTTCCTACCCTGCGCTGCTGCCTCTTTCATATGCAGTGGCACAGGGCAGCAGGTGGGAACTGGTCTGCACAGGAAGCTGTTTTTTAAATTGGCTCCCCTCATGGACCAGCTCCCACCTGCCACTCTGCACTGCTGCCCCAATTCAGAGGCAGCAACACGAGGTAACAGGAGGCTCCCCGCGAATTGGGCTGGGAGCGCATTGGCTGCCAGCCACACACCCAGAGAGTATTGAATAGTTGTGTAACCACTAAAATTTGATGTGATTACATGACTATTCAGTTACACACTATCTAATATCCCTAATGTGACTGACACTTAATTTTTATACAGCATCTTTCTTCTGGAGACATCAAAACACATAATGATTCTTGCCCACCTTTGTAATTCGCATTTTGCAATTTGGGAAACTGAGGCACATGGGGATCAAGGCCACCCCATAACTCAATGGAAAAGCCGGAATTAGAACTCAAATCTACTGATTCCTAGTTTGTGCTGCTTCCCTATTTAGTGATTATTTCAAGCAGCAACATTAACTTATAGAAGCTGATCAGGAGCATGGAAATAATTGGATGTGAACAGAAGCCTTTCCTGATCAAATAGAATTCTGTAGGATTTTCAAGGACAAACCTACTTTATTTGCTTTCACTACACAGTTGTGATGGTATCCCAAGCTTGAGTCACTACAGCCCAGAGATTAACTTCCACTCTGTCAGCTATTCAGTCTTTTTCTCTAACTCATCCTCTTCCTTCTGCCCCAGTCTCATCAACATTTGTTTAAATAAGAACAGCCATACTGGGTCAGACCAAAGGTCCATCTAGGCCAGTATCCTGTCTGCCAACAGTGGCCAATGCCAGATGCCCCAGAGGGAGGGAACACAACAGGGAATCCTCACTTGATCCCTCCCCTGTCACCCACCTCCAGACAAACAGAGGCTAGGGACACCATTCCTACCCATCCTGGCTAATAGCCATTGATGGACCTAACCTCCAGGAATCTATCTAGCTCTTTTTTGAACCCTGTTAAAGTCCTGGCCTTCACCACATCCTCTGGCAAGGAGCCTTCCTCTTTCTTTCCCTCACATCTCTCCCTCCCCCATTTTACAACCAAACTGGAATTAAACAGGCAAGAGCACAATTTTCAGAGATGTTGAGCACAGCTCTCACTCAAGTAAACCAGAGGTATGGGTGCATGGTAACTCTAAGCATAGGGCTGAGTAAAACTCCATGCAGTTCTCAGTACTGAACAGCAGTGATGGAGACATGTTAGAGGCAGCATACAAATTTATGTATTTGAAACCATTTGAAGGGCTTAAATGTTTAACTTCAGTCTATTTAAGGGTGCTGGGCCCTTCTCATCTAGGGGGTGGAGACGCTTCCATATGGACAGAGAATCTGCATTGGCATGTGCAGTCATATCTCTTTGAGGCTTACGGATTCCACTTAACTGGTGTGGGCTGGATCAACTCCTGGCCTGCTGTAGGCAAGGGGCTGTTCTAGCTCTATGGGGTGTGCTGCAGATGGAAGAGGGTGTTACAGCCTGGCTGAACCAGCCCTTGTTGGTGACAGGCCCCATCCAGCCACGTCACAGGTGGAAAGGTGTTCTAGCCCAGCCGTCGGGGGAGGCACTCCATCTATCCTCTTTAACTGGTTAACCAAGTAAACATTACATTTAACCAGTTAACCAATTGCATGGGATTTTACACCTCTAGTTGCCTCTTTCATGAGCCTGGTTCCCCTCTGAGAGCACGTCTTCACTTGCTGCTCCAGAGATCGACCTTCGGGTGTTCGATTTAGTGGATCTAGTTAAGACCCGTAAATAGAAAGCTGAGGGCAGCTCCAGCCAGCGCCTGTACTCCTGGCAGTTGCATGAAGTAAGGGAAGCCAACGGGAACATTTGCTCCCGTCGGCCTCCTGCTGTGGGGATGCCGCCATGCTCAGCTTAAGGTAAGTCCACTGCAGCTGCGTATTCTATGTACCTTAAGCCGACCTTCTATGTGAGGTGTAGACCTGGCCTGATAACGCTCTGCAATCTCTTCCTTCCCAAAGGTGTTTGACGTGCGCTTGAATGGTCACGTGGTCGTGAAGGACTTGGACATTTTTGACCGAGTTGGACATAGCACAGCCCATGATGAGATCATTCCCATCAGCATCAGAAAGGGGAAGCTGAGTGTCCAGGGAGAGGTTTCCACGTTCACAGGGAAGCTCCACATTGAGTTCGTCAAGGTAATAAATCCTGACTAGTGAAAATTCTCTTCTTTCTCCCCCCTCTCATCTCCAGCTAATCCCTCCCATGTGGTGCAGTTGTGCATAAGGAGAGGGAAAGGAGGTGACTCTTGTGGGCGGAGGTATTCCTTTCTTTGTCCATGCAGCCCTGACCTCTGCCTTCCATTTCTCTAGGGATACTATGACAATCCAAAAATCTGTGCACTATACATTCTGCAAGGAACAGTGGATGGTAAGTTTAACTGAAAACCCTTCCTTTAGCTTGGGTAGCAACCCATTGCCTTTTAAACCATATGCATAGAGGCAGCTTTCACTGACCTGTCTCAGCCAGGCCCATCTCCCTCAGCTGTCCCCTGTAAAGACTTGTTCTAGCACATCACAGATATATTGTCACTCCAAGAGCAGGAGGCTGCTTCATTTGGGAAGTAGGATGCGTGTCTGTTTCATGACCAAGGGTAGGGGTGTGTCTGACAATCAGTCAGTTTCATGATTTCAGACTTTAACAACTGACTCAACTTCAGGGTATTGTAACTGGGGGGGTCCTGATCCAAAAGGGTATTGTAGAGGGGTTGCAGGATTACATACTCACTTCTGTGCTGCCTGCAGAGCCCAGCTCTGAAGGCAGCAGTGGTGGAGTTTCCTGCAGCTGGAGGAGGCTCCCAGAGGTGAGTGATGTATTGTCCAGGGGCCCCTGGCCCATGTGTTAACTTAAAAATAATGAGTGCCTCAGTCCTGGCAGGAGATATGAGATGATAGCCCCAAGCCCCAGTAGGCGTAGTGGGGGCTAAAGCCCTGAACTTGGATGCTTTGAGTCCCAACAGGAGCCATTGAGGCTGAAGCTCTGAGCCGAGTCACCCCAAATCCCAGCTGGAGACAAGGGGACGGATCAGGAGTGTGGAGGAAAGCGGGAAGCCCCCGGGGCTGGCAGCCCCATGAATCTAGGAAGGAGCCACAAGCTCTGAGTCCTAGCTGGAGCCCAGAGAGTAGCTGTTAGGAGGGGACAGAGCCAGAGCAGGAACTGCAGCAGGGGAAAAAGGAACTGAGAGCAACAACAGCAGCAATACCAAATCCCAGGTGTCTTCCTGAGCCTTTAGCAGGAACCTCAAGGGAAGGAGGGAACAGAAGTCCCAGCAGAAACCACCAGGAAAAGAGAGAGGGGATAGCAGCAGCAATCCCAGAGCTGGAGTCTTAAGTTCAGGAGCCATTGTGGGAGGGGATCTCAAACTGCGCAGAAACATCAGGGGCTGGAGCTGCAATGGGGTGGTAGCCCTGAGCCCAGAGGCAGCTGTGAGGAGTAAAAACTGCAGCAGCAGCTGCAGCCCCCAGTCTGGGCTCCCCAAGCCTGTGCAGAGCCTGAAGCTTGGCTTTGGGGCTGCTGCAGCACAGAAGTGACCTAATTTCTGTGCTGCCTATAGGGATGGGTCTGATCTCCCTTCAATAACAGCTGAGCAGTAGAAGGAAAGATCCTGTCCCTCTCCAGCCTGGCTGATTTCCAAGAGATCGGACTTCACTAGGCAGGGCTAAATTCATGTGAAATTGGTAGGGCCCAACTTATCACAGCATTTTGATCCACAGGACTTGCTAGAGTCAGAGCACTCAACTGAGATCTTTGTCCAATGGTGGGTCTGCCTGTTACCCAGTGGGCAAGGAATTGGCCCAGTGGTCTGGTGGCAGCATTGTAACTTGCTGTGTGGGTATTTGAATTTAGGTCTCAGGCCAGAAAAGTCTGGGCTGTAGGTAGGGATATTAAATATTGGTTAATTGAATAGTCGATTAACCTCATGAATTCTTACCGGTTAGTCGATTATTCTATAGTCCTTTGGGAGTGGGACTGGCAGCCAGTGTGCTCTGGCCCTCTGTATTAAAAAACAGCTCTTCTCGCGGAGCTCCTCTGTATTAAAAAACCGCTCCTTTGATGAAGAGGCAGCAGCGAGAGCAGCCACCATCTGGGATGGGGGAGGGGGCCTGAGTTCCCGGACCCGGCATAAGCCAGAACTGAGCCAGGCTGCCTGCCCACCTAGTTCCTAATACACTTTAAATGCAGAACACAGTGGGAGTAGGTCCCAGACTTGGCACAAGCCGGGATTGAGCTGGGCTGCTAGCCAGCCTGCTAAAAAATTTATTTACCGGAGGGGAAGGGAGGGGAATGCGTGTAGTTTATAGCATTAACCTATAAGCTTTTGCTTATTGTTTAATCAGTTAATCGACTATACTGTTACATCCCTAGTTGTGGGTTGGGATTCACATTGCTTTGATAGATACGCAGAGTGCCAATGGCAGATTATGGGGAAACTGCTGGGAGATAGGTCTCCCTTTACTGACTCGCAAGCACCTGGTTATCAAAGCAGTAAGTCTTGGTCCTGCCTGGGATCTTATAAGGCAGGGGTGGGGAATCTTTTTTGGGTTTTGGGGCTGCGGACCCACAGAAAAATCAGTTGAGGGCTCCACTCAAGTGAGAAGCAAAAAACCTCCCAAAAACCAACAAAACAAACAAACCAAGTCCTCACTGATGTGGCCCCCAACTGAAAAGGAGAAAGACACTCCCCCTCCCCCCCATTCTCCTTGCACACCAGATCTGGGGGGGCCCAGCCTAGTAGATTTCGTGTGCTCCAGCCCCCAGAGAAGATGGCAATGGGGCTGGAGTGCCAGTGCGGGCTCCCCAATTCTGGAGGGGAGCCCTGAGCTTTGGGGGCTGGATCCAGGCAAGAGGCGGATTAGGTTCCCCACTCCTTTTATAAGGCCACCAGAAGCAGTAGAGATTAGGGCAGATGTGCTTCTGTGGTGTAAAAGCTCTTCCTTAATAAGAGGCTGGAGAGTGATGTTGCTTTGTCCTCACTAATATTTGCTTCACTTACTGAAAGGAGCCATCCAAGTATCTATGAATTAGGGCACTTACATTGGAGTGAGCGCTCTTGGCAGTGTGGGACTGTATTCCAGCTGGTAGGATGTGGGATGGGGCAGATCACAAAGGGACAGCTGGAATCAGTTGCCTGTTGCGATCCTGACAGCTCCTTGCAAAGTTCACAGTATGGAATTTCTTTCTTCCAACAGATGTTCCAAAGCTACAGCCTCATCCTGGCCTTGAGAAAAAGGAGGATGAAGAAGATGAAGAAGAGTATGATGAAGGCTCCAGCGTTAAAAAACAGGCCAATAAGAATCGGGTTCAGTCAGGCCCCCGGACACCAAACCCCTACGCCTCGGACAACAGCAGCCTCATGTTTCCTATATTGGTGGCCTTTGGTGTCTTCATTCCTACCCTCTTCTGCCTCTGCCGGTTGTGAGGGCAAGCCCCATGCAGAGATTCAGTAGCAGGGGCCGCAGGCCAGGAGGAAAGGAGTTGGACCAAATGCGGTTGCTTTCAGTTTCTCCATATGTTTCATAATTTAAGGGAAAAAAAAGTTCATTTGGAATGAACAGCAGGTACAGATTAAGGGGGGTGCTTGCCTTCCCCCAGCCACCGAGCAGCGAGGCCTTGGCTTCCCCTGTTGCACCATAAGCAGCATCCCCTCCTTTCCAAGGCACTTGAGATTAAACTGGATCTTTGCTGTCTGTCTGGGCTGTAAGAAGCTGATGCTCGCAAATTTTGATCCATATCCCACATGGAGAGGAAGCTGCGTGATCCAAGCACTGGGCCCTTATTCAGGGGGATACTTGCTCACAGTTTAAGAAGCTAAGCAGGGTAGCACTCTCTGAATGTTGCTTGGAAAACCAGCCTCTGACATGAGGCCTAGATATGTGCTTTGGTCAGAAGTGTGCACAGATGTTCTGGTGCCTTTGAGTGACTAACAGTGACAGGGGAAAGAGACTGGCTTTTCAACAGCTACCTGAATGTGTGTAACTAAATGCATGGTACTTCTCTGTCCTAAAGATACACAGGCTCAGACTTGCTGATGGGAAAGGCTTCAGCTTCAGAGTGAGAGTTGCAGAAAGAGCTGAGGGATTTATTACGCCTGATTTTCGGCACCTGTTGGGAGAGACTTTCCGAGTTTGAGAATTGCAGTGTTGCTGGGTTTTTTTTGCTGTGACCTGCAATAGCCTGGCTTCTTGCTGCAGTGTCTCTGCCCTAGAGGCATCTGGTTGCTGTATCAGTTGTGGCTTTTATTTCCTTTTTAATATTTTTCTGTGCAATGACTCACTTCAAGCCCACATTGCCCTCTAGTACACAATGTCTCCCATGACGGAGCAGAGAATTGGGTGACCAAAAAATGGAGGCTCTGAACCCCAAGTGCTTGTGCAACCCTGTTATGATCAGCCATCTGGCAACCATAAGACAGGGTAGTACAACCCTACCGGTACTTGGCACTGGCCCTCTACTCTTTCTGCATCAGCTGCAGTGACCTGATCCACTCTGCAATAATATGAGGCTGCAGTTTGTACCTACCCTTCACTATCTTGCATAGGCTTCGGAATATTAGGGTTGTGCCAGACAATTGGAGGTTGACAAGTGCCTCTTGAAATGGAAGAGCATGTCCATTCAAGGTGGAGAAGCACACAGTTGGAAACTGCTGTAGATCAATCTGATCAGCTTCCATGGTCAACTGGTGATGGGTTTGCGCTACCCTGTTTGCTTCCCACCACTGATAGCTTAACAAGTCGGCTCTGCTCCAGCCTGGAAATTATGTGTTCTCAAAGTGGAGGTGGCAGGAAGGGCTCCTTGGCTCTGGGTCTGAGCCTGGTGTAATTAGGAGAACAGTGTGGAGAAACAAAAGCCTGCAATGTGCCATCCACACAATTCCTGATCTGAAACTGGAGGACCTTGGGCCACAGGCTCCACTTAAGATCTGATTCTGCAAGGTGCTGAGCAGCTTCAGCTCCCATTGACTTATGGGAAATGTCAGTGCTCCCTTCCTCACAGGAAGTGCCCAGCAACTTGCAGAGTCAGGCTAGGGGGTACTCTTTGGTGCTTAAGTCTTGAGGCACAATCCGTGTCTGCTTTCATTGTAATAACATCCATCCTCTAGATCCTCAGGGCAGAATTCTCTTTGCCTTGGGCTAAATCTGTCTCTTCTGCCACTTGACTGAGTGGTAATCCCCCGGCTGCTCCTCCGTGGATTCTGGCTTTTCCTATCCATTGCTTTTGAGCACACCTGCTTTACTCACACCTGGCCTTTTGATAAGCTAGACAGAGCCTCTCTGCAAAGGGTCAGTGGCACTCTGTGAATAATCTGTTTACAGCTGCCAAGGTCTTTGCTTTCTTCCTATTTTCAAGCTGTGGAAAGTGTTGCTCAGCCATGAAAGGCAAGACAGGAGTGAAGAGCACTAATAGAGCATTGGTCTGCAAAGCAGCCATCTTTGTGAGCACGTGCATTGCTGCTTTATATCTAACCAGAATTCTGATTATGCCAGGCCAATGCAGAATATAGGATCTAGCTGATCTTTCTCCCGTTGCACACAAGTAGTTGAGTTCGTAAAACAGTCAGAGAATGCTTGGCTCCCCACTGGGAGGAGAGGCCCGTAGTAGATCTCCAGAGCAAGCCAAGCTCTGAAATGGTGGGAGGCCTGGGACTAACAACTTCATTCAGCTGTATCTTCCTGGACCCTTATCACTCCTAAATGCTTATTTTTTTTAATGTATGAGCCAATTAAAGGTGTATTTTGAGGACAATTTCTATTCAGAGTGACAATGCCTCTAACATTTTATCCTTGTATGATTTCCCTTTATCTCTCTGCCCAGTATGTGGTCACTCCAACACACTAGAACAACACAAGATTTGGGGCCTTAATCAAATAGCAGGAGCTTTTTGGATTCATCACAAACTGCCCCTAGTCAATAGACAAACCAAGAACTTAGTCTTGAAAACAACCCCCCTTCCAATTGAGGAGTATGCTCTGCTCTTCCCTTCCCCTGAAATACCAGCATTTCTTAGACCTGGGCCGCCTTCAGTACCTCTGATTTCCTGTAACTTGAGCTCAAGGGGTGAGGTAGGATCATAGGAGTTAGAGATGAAGAGGCCTGTTTCATTAGTTCTCTGCTCTGCAAGGACAGGGAAGGGAAGTTTCTGCTGGTAGGGGCAATGCACTGATTCTGTGCTAGACTCCCACGTGAGGATTAAACAACATGTCTTTAAGGCTTCTGCTTTGTGTTGCAGCCCAGGGCTCTTAAATAAAATTAATTCAGTTTTATTCTTTTTTTAAAGTGATATGTGATTTTCTCTGTTTACCCTTAGGTTAGTTATCAGGCCTTATCCTGTGTACTAGACATGAGGTACTTACATGGGTTTGTGCCCTGACCCCTTATCTTTTTGCTGGGTACACTGGCACCATTATGGTACTATAATGAGACAGTTTTCCTTTTTGCTTTCCTGTTCCAACTCTTCCCTTTCTGGCAGCTTCAGATTTCACTTGAAGGATCCTTTTGGGATAAATGAAGCAAGTGCTTTATTTTTTTTAATTTTTTAAATAGGGACTATAGAAGGCTAAGGTGGGATGGATTGCAGAGACCAGAGGGACCCATCCAACATATGAATGGATGCTGAAGTCTGATTATTGCTCACTTTTACATAGCTCTCTTCATAGCTGCATCTGCATTTCGGCTGGCTAAGACTGGCAAGAGGTGCACACACTACTTGGGGGCTGGGCTTAGGGTGAGTTTAGGGCTACTTTATTTTTCTGTTACGTTGGATTATCATTGGGCCATTGCTTTTCACTGATGTTGATTTCCATTTGTATTTAAAGATGGAGGGTGGAGCAAGAACAAGTAGTGTGAACCATGTTGCATGTCCAAGCCTGTAACTATTAATGCAGTGCTACTTGTGACATTACAGTAAACCTAGATCCCTTCCCTGGGGAACCCTAAATTAGCAGGAGAGACTGCTGCTTGGTAGAAATGAGGGGCGAGGCAGTGAATGCTTCCATGTCATGCTTCAAATCCTGTCTGTTAGCTTTTGGAAATGCTGGTCTGCTCTTCTGCTTCCCTAAGCAACGAGTTTTCCCACAGCCTTACACTCTGCTAGTCTATAATACAGGCTAGTGCCTGGGAAGGTTGGGAGACCAGTTAGGAAACAAGGAAGCATAACAACTCTATATCACATGCAAACAAACAGCAGTAGGCAGATACGGACCTGGTCCCTCTGTGTGCATCCTTGCAACAGTGGGCAGGGTGAGGTGAGTATGTGGTGGCCACAGCTCAGTGTCCCTTCAGAAGCCTGAAGACAGGCAGTTGAGTTCTGTGGAACAGATTGTTTAGAAAAAAGGCTTAGTCAATGTTGACCCTAAAAACAGAAGAAAAGCAATGTGATGATATGGCTTGACTTGAACCTTCCCAGCCCACGGTATTCAAATTGTAGGTGGAGATTCTTTGATTTTTTCTTCCCCACCTGCTGTGCCTATTGTCTGGTATCTCAGAAGAGCAGGCATCCTTGCAAGGCTCTGGTGTGTGTCTTCTGCAGTGTGGTTGGGAGAGTAAGGACCTGTTTCATCCTTAACCCTGGAGCTAGTGGTCTTTGGTAGCGTAAAGCCAGCCCTGGAACTTTGTACTGTCGTGTTTGTGCGAATGGAATGATAGCTAACCTTTCCCTCTGGAATTGCAGGTGGAAGCAAAAGGAATGCCAAAGCAAATTCTTATTTCATTTTTGGTGCCTTTTTGTTGTGGTTTGGTCAAAAATCTGTTTGAAGAAGCTTCTGTTTTAAGGAACTTCTGTTTCCTCTTTAAATCTGTCTCCTGGAGGAGATGGTCCCTAATCCAGGCACATCCCCCTCTAAAAGCAGGGGGCATTATCTTGCCATCCTGGAATGCTCTGGAATGTCCTAGCTGAAATACGGAGCTACTTGTAAATATCTGCTGATACAGTTTTTGCTGTCTGGATGTTTAGTAATGGATGTGCTAGGGGAACTGGTGGGCTCCCTTCAGGCTTGCTTGCCCCAAAGAAATCGCTAGAGGAAAGGGGAGCTCCCAGGAAACTTTGTGCTCATCTGTCCATTGTTTTCAGGGGCTCGATGAGTCAGTTGGATTTTGGGAAGGAGCACGGCCCTCAGCATGCCTTCAGTCCTGCTTCTGTATCACCGGTATCGTTTGTGGCATGAAATTCACCCCATCCTGTATAAAGACCTTGCTAGCAAAGGGCTTCCCCCAGAGTTGCTATTGCGGCAGGGACTCTAAACCAGGAGCAGAATACAGTACTTGATCTCTGGCCTTGCTGTGCTTAAAACTGGACTAGCAGCAACCCTGGGAAACATAGTCCAGTGTCAGCTGTAGCCTGAACAGTCCCTTTGGAAAGAGAGAGAAAACTGCTGCAACTTGCATCTGTAACATCTGAAAAAGTCTATGTGTTTTGGGATTTAAACTTCTACAGGTAGCAGACCCTCTAAGGCATCTGTCTGCTCCTTGTGCCCATTAGAGCAAGAGAGAATTCAGCTTAGTGGGATCCCCAGGGAGAGTAGGGTCTGGAATCTCACTGAGTCAGTTCCACCATTCAGGCCATGCTACATCTCCGTGACAAATGCATACACAGGTCTAATGGGAGTAGGTTTGAGGCTTTATTCATACTTGCCTCTGTTTCACCAGATTGTCTCCAGTGATTAATTCTAAATAGGCTTAGGCATGAATTCTCGAAGGGGGAATGTATAATGTGGGTTGGAACTGAGAGCTCCTCCCAGGAAAAGATGGAGCTTAATAAATAAGCCCCTTTATACTGTGTTCTTTGTTCCTGATTGTGATGTAACAGTTAGGGGGTGTTTCAGACCCATGAAACTTGTGATTATTTCACATCAGAATTGAACAGACTCATCTCAAGAATATGGTAGATGGTAGCAGCTGCACTTAGCTTCTGGCATTGGTCTGTGAGAAGGAGGTTACAACCAGGGTAGGCTTCCTGGACTCTGGCATGCTCAAAGTTTATAGGTATATATTAAAGCACTGTTTCTGAAGAGATCAGGGAAATGCCATGGGGTGCTCTGCGCCTAGTCTAGCCAGCACGACTCTCATTGCTGTTATTATTTGCCTCTCCCTGAAGTGTTTCATTGGGGACGGGGGAGTGCTTTCTTCCCTCCCAGAGATAGTGCTGTCTGCTCAGGAAATATGAATAATCCACAGCAAACAGCAAGGGCTCAGAAGTCTGTATGGTAGAGATTTATTCTAGGGATGGGGAAATAGCAGCTCAGACAGATGTCAAGCAGTTTTTTAACAAGTTTTGTTTAACCAGAAACTCCTCTTAGTGTGTGTGGATCTAGAAAATGCAGAATCTTTGAGCCATAGTTATTTCTTATTCATCTTTGTTAGGGGTGTACTTATTTGTTCTGTCAGTGATTCAGTTTCAATCCAAACATGTTCAGTTGGGGATCCTCAAGTTAGTAAAACACCCCCTAGAGGTTAGGGCTGCTCCTAGGGACTTCTTCCACTCAAGCTCTTCCTACTTAAGAAACTAACCAGTCTGTAAGGTGGTTCCAGGTTGCATGAAATAAAAGTAGCGTTCTCAGGGTCTTCAGAGCAGAATCCTGGTTTGCATGAGTTTTTAGCTCAGTTATAGTGGCAGTGTTTGGGTCGCAACTGCACAGCAACTCTTAACTGTGTTGAAAGTGGGTCTCAAGACTTGGGTATGGTTGTTTTGACAAGGCCTGAATGAGCTCCTTGCATGTGCCTTCTTGCTAAGGGAACACTGGCTTCATGCAGTCAGCTGATTTTTTGAGCACAAAGGGCTGCACAGTTGCAGGTTACTCAAGGCTGTAAGACTGGAGTGACCATGAAGGAAATAATAATATGGGGAGAAATATCCATTTCTTTTGAGGTAATTCTTTGTCTGTATTCATAATCAGTACTAATGGGTTTTGAAGAAGAATTTTTTTTCCTGTCCTTTGCTTTGAGTTATAACAACTTGCAATGACTGTATCAATCTTGGGCCCTGGGTTAAAAGCACAGATCTGTTTCTGACTAGACTGGCTTTGCAGAGACTCGTTATTTTGGAGAGAAGAGCTGGGTGTGTGGGAGGGTTATTTTATTTTTGGTACATGTAGCTGTTTATTTTTTAACTTTCCCAGGATGTTTGGTTGAGGGAATGTTCTGAAATCGACTGCCTGGCAGTTTTAACCAGCAGTGTATTAAAGGAAAATAAACAAAATTATATTGTCACTCGGATGATCTACTACTTAAAGAAAACTATAACGTCTCTCTTTGCGTTGAGGGAAGGGGCATATGATATCTTGTTACTGTGCTGGAGCCTTGACTGCACTGAACAGTGGATTGGAAGCCACCGATGAGGCCGCTACTGCAACTTGAATCCTTGAACCCCCAAAGCTACCATGGCTCTTCTCTTCCTGCTTTCCACTGCCCAGCTCTGTCGCAGCTGGGTTATTCTCACCCTCCCCTCCCCATCTTCATTAAGATAGGGGGAAACTGTGACTTGTGTTTATACTGCACAAGATTCCCTGAAGTGCTGAGGTGGGCCTAGTTATTTCTGTCTAGTTCCACCTGTAGAAGAGGCTCTGGGCTCAGATCAGGCAGGGTGAAGGCAGATTCTGCCTCATGGATGTCATTTGATATATGTTGATCTTAGCTGGAGATGGAGGGAAAATGGGACCCAGCCTTGAACCAAGAGGTTGTCAGGGTATCCACTTATTCAGGGGGTTACCACCTTCCCCCCATTCTACAGGGCAGCATTTGTGGCATGGCAGTTGCTATTAATCAACACATAGTGTGTAAAGATCCAGCAGCAGGGTCCAGATTCAGTAAAGATTCTTTGCAGCACTAATGTGCCTGGGTGTTTGAGCTGAGTGTAAGGCACTTTCTTGGCTGAAGCTGAGGGGTGCAACCAATATCTGGGATTTTGGGTGGATAATTTGGCACAAGGCAACTTTACCCAAGAGATGCCCAGAGAACCACTGCTGGGAGAAGGTGTGGGTGTATGGTGGATCCCACCATTGTGTGTTCATATGGAGATAAGTCCTCATTAAACATCACAGACAGCATTTTAGGTGAGGCCTGTGAGAAGGAAAGGAAAAGCTCTATCCGTTTCCTACACACAGCAACTTGCTGCAGGAAGGGAGAAGGGTGGTGAAATGAGAGGACAGAGCCTCTTGCACTCATCCTTTTAAGTTGGAGGTGGCTTCTGAAAGATCCTTAATATTGTCCCATCCCAGTCCTGTCCCCCCCAAAATGAAGAGGGAGGGTTGTTTTCACTGTCTTTGGTGACTCTTCTCTTTTTCAGGATGATGCTCCCATGAACCCTACCACAGATGATATCCATGGGCCAAAAACACTTATGTCTGAAGTACACATAGTTTGCCCCTCTTGTGTCCCCCACCCCTTCACCAAGATCAACTGCACACTCATCTCAGTGACTTGTGAACACCTACATATAGCATTATCAAAAGCTAAGAAGATCAATCTTGGTTAGATTCCTTTGCATTGGGATGTCACTGCTGTGCCTGATGGTACAAATGGCACAACCTCCCATGAAGATGTAGCAGCTGCCACATGAAATAGCTGGATAACATTGTCTATCTGCAGGATCCTGAGTCAACCTCTGCTATGGATAAGTTGTAGTAATTGATGGTAAGTTTGAGGGAAGGGAAGCTACTGGGGACCTGAAAAAGGAGAAGGCAAGAAGATTTGGGTACAGCAGAGTACCCTGCCTCACTTGCGGTATAGGCATTTGCTCTTTTTTGGGTAGAAAAGCACAGAATTTATGCTTTCTCTTTGAAGCAGTATCAACCATTGGCCCAGATAACTATTATTCACTTTCAGGAGGTATGTTGGAGGCTTTACAGAGCTGTAGGAAGTCTTGGCTCTGTCCCATACAGCTTACTTCCTCAATAAACATGCAGAGGAAGGATGGGAGGTGTAAAAAGCAACGCCACTTAGTGTGCGGTCAGGACAGGTGCTTGGAGGCTGGTGTAATGAGTGGAGGTACCCAACTGTAAATCTGCTGCTGAGGTGGTCCTTTACAAATATAGAATATTTAAAGGTAGGGTTCAGATCTTGCCATGGATATTTTTAATACAAGTCTGAGAGGCAGGGGGCAATACATTCATGGAAGTCTATGACCTGCCTGTCAATGATTTTTACTAAAAATACTTTTGGAGGGACTAACAGAGCTGTGCCAGGGGCTGATCCTGGCAGCTGCTCCAGTACTGCCATTATTCCTCGGGGGCTGACTGCTGCTGCTCCAGATGGAGATGACCCTACCCTAGGGCCACTGCCCTGGCAGCAGAGGCTGACTATTGGCCCTGGCCACTGCTGTTCCTGGCTGAAGTGGAAGAGGTCCCAGAAAGTCACAGATTCCATGACAAGATCATATTCTTACTCAAGGGTTCAGACATCAAGTGGCTGCCTGAATCAGTGCTTGAGAGATCGAGAAAGTATAATTTTGTAACCAGTAGATTAAGTGAAATGATTTAACATTGTTCGGTGAAAGTACATATTCCTCTCTCTACTCAGGGCTGGAAGCTACCTGTGTTCTGTAATTATATTGCCCCAGAAGATACTTTCCTTAATTAAATTAACAAGTAATATAATAATGCTTCTGTTTGCTATAAGCCTCTGCTTGCAAAGGGCTGGCTCTGCCTCTTTAACAGCAGCTACTGGGAGGAATAGGGCCTCATGACACATCTTAGTCCCTGAAGCTTTGTGTGTGGGAGCAGTGCTGTTTTCATCTCTAACTAATTCCTAGGAGTCTGCACTGCCAGCCCAAATTCATCAGCCTTAGAATCTCCGCAGTGACTTACTCTGTGACTGCTGGAAGCAGATGCTTCCTCAAAAAGTACGTTAATGTTAAAATGAATGAACTGCAGCCCTGTGCTGACGGGTCCCAAGGTGGTGTTCAGAATGAAATGTCATTGTGAACCCCACCTTCCATGTGCTCTGAAATGTAAATGTGCTCTGGGCGCTCCGGCATGTTGATCGTTATTTCTGACCCCTGGCTAGCTGTGCTATGTCTTGCTGGACATTGGGGTAGAGCTGGAAGAGGCATGTTTGTGCCTCCAATGGGAGACAGAGGAGAGGTGATTAAAGCAGCTACAGTGCAGAATACAAAGCTGTTCTTGGGCATGAAGAAAGGCCCTTATTCCTAGTTTTCTTGTCACACATTAGATCCCCCATCAAACTGGTTCTGATGACCTGGGGAATGTCTACACTGCACACTTATTTTGAAATAAGCTATTTCTTTGCGCACTTAGTTTGAAATACTCCAAAATAGCTTATTTCAAAATAGCGCATCTATACTATAGGGAAGCCTGCAATTTAGTCGGAGGCAGGCTTCCCTTATGTGAACAGGCTACTGCGACTTAGAGCCCCAGGAAGTACGGGGGAGTAATTACTTTGAATGGCCCTGGGGTGGAGCTATTTCGAAATCGCATTGGCGCATCCACCCTACTGCTATTTCAAAATAGGCGTTATTCCTCGTGGTATGAGGTTTACGGAAGTTGGAATAAGCTGTCGGTTATTTATAATGTATTTCAAAATAACGGAGTAGCGGTGGTGCGACTTAGAGCCCCAGGAAGTACGGGGGAGTAATTACTTTGAATGGCCCTGGGGTGGAGCTATTTCGAAATCGCATTGGCGCATCCACCCTACTGCTATTTCAAAATAGGCGTTATTCCTCGTGGTATGAGGTTTACGGAAGTTGGAATAAGCTGTCGGTTATTTATAATGTATTTCAAAATAACGGAGTAGCGGTGGAGACGCTTGCATTATTTCGGAATAACCGTGCAGTGGAGAGACACCCCTGGTGTCGGAGTCCCAGAGTGCGGGCGCCTCTTCTCTCCCCCTCCCCTGCTCTCTTCG